GCCCGCCCGAGAAAACAGGGTGACCCGGCCGGCCCGGCTGGTAGCCTAGGTTTTTGACGATTTTGCTTCGCACTCTCATGTTGGTGCGCTTTATGGGAACAGTGGCGAGCACGAAGTGAACTTGAGGATGGGGAGATGGAGACCCTCTGCACGCTTCTTCTCTGGCTGTCCATCTTAGCCCTTATCCCGTTTGACCTCGCAACAGTGGATACGGCACTGGCGAACAAACTATACGACAATGGCTGTGGCAAGGAGGTAGCGAATGGAGAATGGGGAGTGGAGGGGAAGAACCAACCACCTCCATTGGTGGACAGAATGGTAGCGATTGCCAAACACTACCTCGGTTGTCAGGGCGTCATGAGAGACATGGCGGCTGTCTTGTTGTCGCGGCTGCTGACGAGACCGGATATGAAAGTTGCACTGAAAAGGTGAGGGCGACGATGCTTTGGGAAAAAAAAAAAAAAAGTATTTTCTTCGCGCCTTTTTTCTCCTCTTGTGTTTTGATGAACGTACGTTCGTACGGATTGCAGGGAGGTCCGTTTTTTAGTCTCCTAGGCTACCAGAGTGGCCTCGAATCACTTGCCCAGCGAGGCCAAAAAAAAAAACACAAAAAAACTGTTTTTTAATTTCATTTTTATGTTAAATTTGGTAAAGAATTTCGATGTGACCCTGAGGCAAAAAAGTTGTTCAGTTTATTTTTCTGCAAGACTCTAACATAATTTGTTTTTCAGATTTTCCAGTTTTTTTTTTTGGGGGGGGGGACCTTCTTTGGTCCTTGCATTGCCGGGCCGCCCGGGCAAACAAGGTGACCCGGGCGGCCCCTCCCAGCCCGGCTGGTAGCCTAGGTTTTGACTTTTTTTTTTTCCCTTTGGAAACACGAACAAATGAATGAATGAATGAATGGTGAACTGTCCATTCGGAACCCCCCTTCTTAAACCCTTTCTTAAACCCTTTCTTAAACCCTTTCTTAAACCCTTTCGTAAACCCCTGCTTGCCCTTTAGCTCTGATTACGCGTGGGCCATCTGCCGAAGTCCGTTCCCGGCTTCAGTTTTGCTCGTTTCTATTTGGCGTTAGGCCCCAACATCATTGTCATTGTATTATTTTATAATTATTAGTATATTTTATTACTATCTGGTTCACCAGATGAGTTCAGCAGAATTTGAGCTCATGAGCTGTTCATTTACAGTTACATCGGCCAGGTCGTTGCTCTCTGCTTCCTCTGTTTCGCCCTGTTCCGCTCCGTTCCCAAGTCTCTTCTTCTCCATTACCAACTGCTTACTGTGAATCCATCAGGATTCGAACTTCTGAGCTATTCATTAGAGCCTATTTCTGTCGGACAGAGGAATGTCTGTGTGCATTGAACTGCATTCTTTTTCTTGTTGATTTCTAAGTTCTAACTATTCATCGTTGTCGTTCTTTTTTTATCTTAAAAAAAAATCAGCTTTTAAAAAGCGGTCAGATCAATAGCACAAATTGCGGTTAAAAACTAGCTTTCCCGGGGCGCCCGGCCGGGTAGGGACCTCGCCCGGGGTACCCCGGGCATGAAAAAAAAACACTGAATTTTTTTTATTTTTTTTTTTGGCCTGCAGGGCCTTGCTGCGCTTTCCAAGTACATCCCAAATCCGGCCTCATTTCTTTT